CCCACAAGACGTCGGAAATGGTTCTTCAGACGGAGAAGGAACTAGAGCTGGGCTCCCCCACGTCGAGGATGGGGAAAGGGAAACCCATATCTGGTGCCCACCGTGTGAGGAAACGAATCTTGCTGAACTCTTCTATGAAGATAGGTGGATTCCTAAAGCACAGATGCGACATCTGTGTTCCCCGGCGCCCCGAAGTCTCCCCCATCCCCCTCAATTCGCCGTAATTGGGCCACGTGGTGAGGCCACGATTGTTTGAACTCTTCTGTGAAGATAAAAGCAATCCTAACGCATAAACGGGGCGAGTTTATGTGCAACGGCGAACCGGGTCTAAGCGGCAAAAGATATTAGCAGGCTTGCATCACCACAAGAGAGGAGCCTGATCTGAGTATCTTCAACCTTCCTGAGGACAGTCAGGTAAGGAGCAGGCCCGGCATATTCCCTTTTAAGGAAACTTCGGCATACTCCCTAAACCTCTCCCCCTGTAAACCTGTAACTACAAGAAGCGTGCATGCCTCTTTAAGAGAGAAAAAGCAAGCTTAAAGAACATATGTAATTCCATCTGCAAGTCATCTAATAAGACTGCTTGCTAACCTGAAAGATAGTTACCACGCCAGCATGGCGAAAAAAGGGTTAAAGCTGCTCGAAACAGCTCCGCAGCAATCCCCCTGCGCGGCCCCGCGCCGCCCGCCGTGCCGCTCGCGCCGCCCGGCCCCGGGCCGGCCCGCCGCGCCGCGGCTCCGGGGAAGCCCCGACATCAGCCAGCCCCGCTCCTGCCTCGCTGCTGCAGCTCCCGCCGAGCCGCCCGGGGCGGACCCTGCCCCGCAACAGACCGGACCGGACACCCGCGGTGCCGCCGCCGCCCCGCCGAGACCCCGGCGCTGCTGGCGGCCCCGGCCCCCGCCGATCCCGCCTGCACCCTGATCCTGCTGCACACAGCAACCCCCCGTCCCGCCATGCGGCCGCAGCAGCCACCGCCGCAACCCCTCCGGACGCCGAGACTGCCTCCGAGAAACAGAAGAAAACAACCATTTGGACTCTAATGAAACTAAAATTAACAGCAATAAGTAGTTTGTTTGGTTCTGCAGTAAATTGAAAGTTTGTGCCAGTGAAAAACTTGTTTCATCAATAAAACCATTTTTAAATTCTGTCTTATAGGGACACCCTCAGACACTAAGAGAATGAGGTAAATTTAAAATCCTTATATCAATAAAAGACATATTCATCTTTAGGGAATAAATAAGGTTGGGATATGGCAGTGAACCTGATGAGAAACTTGTTTAAACATGTTTTAAAATGGCTCTTTGTGGTCCCTTTGCAAACACGTGTTTCTTCTTCCCAACACCCCCCACAGCAACTGTTATCTCCCATGCAGGAATGTCCTGGGAAAGGTGTCCTGAGGTGTCCTATTGGTCCTTTGTTAAACCCCTTCCTATTGGCTGTTGACCCTTTACCTGATGGTTTTTTTCTGTGTGACCCTGAACTCGTGATTGGTTCCCCTTTGACCCTCCTAAAAGCCTTATAAACCCCTTCCCAACAATAAACTCTCTCTTGCCTCCTCTCCACACCCGGTGTGCTGTCTCTGTGCCTGCCATGGAGCCACGTGGGTGCTGGGGGGAGGGGAGGGCACCTCTCCCCTCCAGGCTCGGGGCCTGAAAAACCCTGTTTCTGGAGTCCCCCTTCCCCGTCCCACAAGACGTCGGAAATGGTTCTTCAGACGGAGAAGGAACTAGAGCTGGGCTCCCCCACGTCGAGGATGGGGAAAGGGAAACCCATACAAGGGGGGTAAGGAGAACAAGAGAGGAATGAGAAAGAGAGAAAGATTAAGATAGTGTCTACAAAAACCTTCCCGTTGTGATTTTTAAAGAGATTTAACACCCATGTGTTTCTGCAGATACGTCTTTTATTAAATGAAATACAAAATTAAATAAACCCAAATTCAGAGTGCACAACGAAGATAGAAAGGACCTGGATTGTTTTTTAAAACTTCTTACTTTGAGGATTGATATCAATTGACAGGGAAACTTCAGAAGAGCAGGAATGTCAGTTCAGATGAGGATTATAGAAAAGGAATTTTTTTATCATCAACTGAACCATTTGGTTTACTAAGTTAGGCAGGAAATTCTCAAAAAAAAGATTTTCCTACAAAATTTTTCTGTTTGTTTTTACCATACTGGAGAGAAATATGAAGAAAACATCATTTTATGAAACTGAGCTAATCCAGTTTCTGATAGAGACAAAAAGTACCACAGGAATCAAAAACTATTTTTATCAAAACTTCTGTACCAGTCCTCTTTAACTTGTACAGGGAGAAACAGATATTTGATGTTAAGCAGCTTCCCAAATCTGGTTAATATTGGTGTAATATTTTGTGTCAATAAGAAAGAAAAATGTGTATTTTTATACGAAATATAGCAAAGTTAATTTTGTATATACTAATCAGAATTCAAATAACCAACAAGTAAAATAAGAGGCTTGGGATGCAAGTACTGGGAAGTCTGTAAGTCTGGGCTGAATAATGGAGAGACTAGCAGGTCTGAGTGTTGGCTACTGCAGGGCCCAGGGCATTCAAGACAATTCCTGAAGAGACTGTGGGACCTGGGAATCAGCTACTGATTCAGTCATAGGTGAGGACCAGAGAGACACACCTGCATGTGTGACTTTGGAAGCAACTGGAGATCTAAGGGAAATGTAATGAGTAGACTGACTAAGACCAGTTATTGAGGGGATCCACAGCTTGTATGTAAGTCTGAGCACCAGCAAGAAGAATGGGGCTGTGACCTTGATGACTGGTAGGCCCAGATGCCAATAACCAGGTAGACTGAGAATCTGAGTTCAGATTCTGGATAAACACATCATGCAGTGGGTGAGCAATTAGCCTACGGGTTGAGCACAGAGGGTAACAGTGAATGGGGTAACATCAGACTGGCGACCTGTCACTAGTGGGGTTCTGCAGGGCTCTGTCTTAGGCCCAGTTCTCTTCAACATTTCATAAATTACTTGGACACAGGACTAGAAGGGATACTAAGAAAGTTTGGGAGGAGCTGATGACTCCCTTGAAGGCAGGGAGGTCCTGAAGGGAGACCTTGACAAATTAGAAGACTGCGCATTCAGCAATCATACGAAGTTCAACAAGGGCAAAGCTGGATTCTGCACCTAGAAGGGGCCAACCCTGTCTGTTTGTACAGACTGCAGAATGAGATGCTGGAAAGCAATCCCATGGAAAGGGACCTGTGAGTCCTGGTCAATGGCAAGCTGAATATGAGCCAGCAGTGCCCTGGTAGTGAAGAGGGTCAAGTTGGTGTTAGTGTCTTTTACCTTTAAGAACTCAAACCAGTGGATATAAAGAATTTTAAAGTCTAGTTATTAATTAGCTAATATAGAGTCTATACCCCTATCCCTTAATGACCTTAATATTAGAACAATATATTTCCACATGGCAAAATTAAATGGAAAGGTGTAATTTATTAATCCCATAAATACATTCCCTGAAAAAGAGGTTTCAGTTTGTCTTAGTGTTTAGGAGTTTATATGCAACATTTCTCTGCAAATGCCCTCATTACCTTACAAACTTCAGCTGCTATCCAGATACACAATGCAACTATTCACACCTCATATCAATTTACTTTCTTTTGAGTGTATGATATGATGGACAGGTTTTTTTATCATTGTTCTTTCTATATGCATTTGAATTTTTGGTAGATTTGAACTTTAGAACAGGAAGACTAAAATATGCCTAATCTCTGTATATTCTGATGTTTTTGAAATAGTACAATTAATCAATATGCCAATAAACATTACAGAAAACAGATGGTAATTTTAAAATATGTTTTAAAGTAGCATTCAAATATAACAGATAATAGCAAATACTATTGTGGGGGTATGAGTCATTGATATTTAGTACTCCAATAAACAGATGAAAGCTTATGCAGGGATTATGATAAAGATGAAGGAAGAGATTCAGATAATTCTTTTTAAATATAGATCACTCAGATTTTAATCACAGTGATCACTTATTTGACCATATAAGCCTAAGAAGAATATGTTTAATTAAACCAAAGGACATCTGTGTATGTGGATAGCTGGGTAAAAAGCATCTAGAAGTAGTTAAGAGCACTGGAACTTTTGTCACATAAATCAAACAATTTGCGGGTTTTTTGAAGCAAAAAAACAAAGGTTGACCTTCTGAGTTTTGATGCCAGGAAAAATCTTAGAAGTTATCTTTTGCCTTTCAAATGACAAAACTAACATTATTTCATCTAGAAAGAATGTAGTAACATTTTGCAGATTCACTCTATTCACATTTGGTGTTATTCAAATATCACCATCAGTAGCACCCTTTGTCCTTAAGGTATTTCTTTATTCTCCATATTAAAGTACAAAGAAAAAATGGAGCAGTCCAACTTCTGACACATCAAGCAAAAAAGGATCAGATAATATTATCAGTGCATACATAATAAGTAATTAAATGAACATTCTCAGGTATAATAATCACAGATGTATTTTATACACAATAATTATTTTACATTTATATTTTAATTATTAGTGAAATAATATTAGGACGGCTTTTCCCTTTTATTTAATATAGTAAAAATATACTTGCTTTCCATCGAGATGTATTTCTTGCAGTCTTCCTGTCTGATAGGTGTTGGAGAAAAACCTTTTGTTACCCTCTGGCAGTGCTTCATTCATATGCAGGGAGAAGCACAGACTGCTCTTGAAGTAGTTATCTTCTGAATCCCAATGGGATGGGCTCAGCTACAGCAAAGCTCATGCTTCACTTAACTGGATCTTCTTAAATGAAATGAAACTTGCTGCTTAAGAAAGTACAGCCTAAGTCTATTGCCTCCTCAGTTGCCTGCATTTCAACATTTGTGAATGTTAGGCAAGTCCAAGAAACAGCTGTAGACTTAGAAGTGTTGTAAGAGCCTAGGGCTTATAATTCTTTTTTTTTTTTTAAATAGGGTATATTATTGATTGCTGGATTCTCTTTTTTTAATCAGAATCCTCAAGACAATGTTTCTGCTGTTCTGAAAGAGCACTACCTGAGAGAAGAGAAATACTCTGCCTTTTATCTACAAGGCTGCTGTGCTGGTAATGGGGGAATAGACAGGGGCTGTCTGTAGAAGCATGTAAAGAAAAAATTACAGCAACTGTATGTGTCTTGGATTTTTAAATCTGTATCAAATGAAGGTATAATTTTAAATAACATAGGAATAAAATTAAAATTGATATACAGTGGGTTCTGTCAGAAACATTTTAGGCTGAAATATGTCCTGATTTTTATTGGTTTTAGGAATGGAAGAAGGACATTATCTGGAAAATAATTAGCATATAGAAGTAAAGTATCAATGTCTAATTTTATCAAAGTATTTTGTTGTGCCAAGCATGCCATAATTTCATATTACTTTATTAGTTACATATTTACTGAGGATATTAATACTATAAATCCTAAGGATCCCTCTCATGTATTTCATCTATTTTTCCTATAGGTTAGCCAAAGTGCCTGTCGATGCTTAAAGCAGTTTCTGCTATATTTCTCCAGTCAGGTATATAGCACAAAGATGTAGTATTGCAATGGCTGACCTCAAAAGTCCTTCTTATAAAACATTGTTGGATCTTCGATGTCGCATACATTCTGACAAACTCTAATCAATCTGCCTTAGTATCAAAGGAAACTTCCTTCCAGGTATGCTCATTTAAGTGCGAATGTCAGAACTTTTGACCTTTTCTTACCTCTCGCTGCTTCTTCTTCTTTGTGATTTTGCCTTTGTTGGCTTTGCTTTCTTTAGGAACTGTCAGTGTTTCCAGCATGCTTCTGCCTCTCCCTGAAACTCTGAATGTTCTTTTTCAGAGAGTTATACTGTAACTGTCTAGCCTCATTTGCTCTTCCTTTAAATTTATTCTGAGTCAAGTTCTCTTTTTGTAGAGGACTGTCAGGTTAGTGGGGAAAAAAAATGTTTTCTATTCTTTTCAAAAACCTTACTTGAATGATGCTTTTTCTAATTCGGCAGGCAGTGCCAAAATAAAGATCATTAGCCTTTTTTCCTCCCATTAAAATCATACATGTCTCTATTTTGTTCACATAGGCTTTTCCAATAAACATAAGGCTTTCAGAGTATCTGCACTAGACTTTGCATGGAGAAAGCTTATTTTGTGTCAATCTTTCTTCATAATTCCAAAAAGGGTTCACACATAAAAGTAAATTCCTCCTGCTCTAGTTCTGTTCCTACAAATACATATTTACTCATCTGATGATGGAGACACAGAGCCAGAGGGTTCACTAGGAAAAAAGTCAGTCCCAAATGTTGCCTGAGACTGTGACCTCCCCTTATCTCTCTAAAAAGCTCAAATCACCACTAAAATTCTATAATAATGTTCTGTCAGAGGAAGTATGAAGCTTACACATTGATAGGCTTATCTTTTTTTTTTTTTTTTTGTCATAGTTATCATATGATGGTAAGATTGACGGAGAGATAGACAACAGATTAGCAAAGGCATATAGTGCTTTTGGAAAACTCCATAAAAGAGTATGGCGTAATAAGCACTTGAAGAAAAACACCAAGATCAGTGTTTACAAAGCCATAGTGCTGTCTACTCTCTTATATGGATCTGAATCATGGGTCATCTACCGCCACCACCTGCGTCTCTTAGAACGCTTCCATCAACGCTGCCTCCGTACAATCCTAAACATCCACTGGTCAGACTATGTGACCAACACATCTGTTCTAGAGCAAGCAGCTATCACAAGTATCGAGGCTATGTTGATGAGAACACAGCTGCGTTGGGCAGGGCACGTCTCCAGGATGAAGGACCACCGCCTTCCCAAGATCTTGCTTTACGGTGAACTTGCCACTGGCTGCCGCATGAGAGGAGCCCCGAAGACAAAGATACAAGGACTCCCTGAAACAACATCTCAGCCTTGGCCATATTGATCACCATAACTGGTCTACTCTGGCCTCAAATCGGGAGGCCTGGAGACACACCATCTATAACGCAGCTGTCTCCTTTGAGAACACACGCAGGATCACCCTCGAGGAAAAAAGGCAACGCAGAAAGAACCGTGTATTGCAGAATACACCATCTAAGGAGTCTTTCTGCTGTGCCTTTTGCAATCGGATTTGTCTGTCACGTATTGGCCTCATAAGCCACCAGCGTGCCTGCAGCAAATGTGGATAGAGCCTTCCCAAATCTTCGTTCGCGAAGCCTAGCCATGATGAGTTATCATATTGACAACTGTTTACTTTGTTAACTATCCACCATTGTTTATGGTGAGCCCAAAGAATGAGCAAGGTGATTGCAGTTCTGTTTGCAGTATACTTTAGAAACATATCCTACATTTTTATTTTTTTAATATCTGCTAAAATAGCAAGAGACAGTGAAACGGACATACATGAACAGAGTGAGGGATGAATAGAAATTAAGACATATGACTTGTAGGGCTTTTCCAGAAAGAGACTACAAAAAAAAAAATATTTATGAGTCTGTTCTAAATACCTAGGTGTGTGTAAAAAAAGAAATAAAATAAAAATAAAAGGCAACCTCCCAGCTTTTTTTGTAAAGAGCAAGAGATCAGTGTGATGGAGTCCTAACCAGGAAGAAATTTGCAAATGACAAAACTATTTCCAGTTGTGCTGAATTTAAAGTCCTCTAGTTCAATATGCATATATATCTCAGTGTGTAAATGGGTTCCTATTAGTTAAATACAAATTTTGTTCTATGCATATAAGCATTACATAAAAAATAATAAGCAAGATAAAGAACTCAAGGGTAACTGATCCTGCATTAATGAGGATGTTTGCTGTGAGGTCATTAATTAGTACTAATTAATAGTAGAGTTAAAGTTGGAGTTTAAAATGCATAGTTAAATGCTTCATTCAGTTGATGAATATCTCACTTTAACCAAAATCCTTTAGATCATGTAGAATGTTATTCATTTCTATATATTGAGAAATACATTGTTTTGGTGATACTTTCTTTTGAAATCTGGGAGAGAAAAGAGAAGAGAAAATACATGGGAAAAAAAGAAAGGGTAGAGAAAGGAAAAAAGAAAGAAAAGAAAAAGGAAGGCAAAAAAATCTCTGGTATAAGCACAATTTCCAGCTACAGGATAAAAGCAAGTATTTCTGAAATTTTCTATGGGGGTTTTAAATTCTATTTAACTTTGAAATACTTTGGAGGCTGTTTGCAAATGTTGACTTTTATTCCTCTTATCTGAATCTTCCTCTCCTGCAAATATATATTGCTAGAGTGCATCACATGCTTCAAAAGGTTATTTAATGTCTTTATGCATTTTGAATGTTTTATTTTCATTACAATTCTCTCTGCCTATTTCTCCCTTAATTGGTAGCTGGAAGTTATTTTTCTCACCATCTTCATATTTTTTTTCGCTCAGCATATCTGAACTGTTTAATTTGCCTACTTGCTAAAGTAGAAACTCATTTTGTGGGGGCCTATAATTCACACTTGTGCTGTTCTTATGGTATTATTGATGTTTTTCCTGGTAGACAGTGTTAAGTTTACATTCGTGAGTCAAATGAGACTCTCATGTGTCTGTATTTTTTATCTGTTTTCTAATTTTGCATACTATTTGTTGTCCCTTTGTCTTCTTTTTGTCCAAAATAACTTTTTCCCACTAACATTTTTTTAAATGTACTTTACTTTTAATATCACTGCTAGTGATTTAGGATTCACTTGGGATTTCATGTTCAGAAATATTTAGTTCTTTTTTTCTAAAAAAAAAGTACTTAGATATAACAACATTTACCTTGAAGCGTGAATCTTATTATTTATCAAGGGTCTAACAGAAAATGAGATTTTATCTTTAAAAAAATCATAAAAACAGTCAAAGTATACCATTTTAAAAGGAAAACCAAATTATTATCACTTGACACTGAAAACAGCTAGTTAATTAATCTCATTTTAAGTTTGAGCATAACCTGTTTCTATGGACTATTATCTTGAGTGTCAGTACCCTGAAGGTACACTCCCTTCACCTTGCCTCTAACTCAGGACCCCATCTCAGTCCCCACACCATCAACCCCTGCCCCGGTGATGCCAGAGCAAGGCTAGTCTCCACCTCCCACAGTCCAGCCCAGGCCCAGGTCCCAGCCCTGATCTGAAATGGTCCCCAGGTGACTTCCTTGACTCCCTGTCTTTTAAGAAGAGGCCAGCCTTCACTGCTCCCTGACACTGGATATGAATAAAAGACAGAAGACTAATTAGTCACAGCTCCATTGGTTTATTGATGAGGAATCAGTCCAAAATGTTAACCCATGTTGTGCCAACTCCTTGCTGTGTGTCCCCCCACTCTCATCAGCATGGAGGGTTGGGCAGTATGCTGTTTCACTCAGAGGTACTGTAGTCAATTCGACCAGTTTGTGATACAGAGTTTTGTCTTCACCTGACTACAAGATAAGCTCAAAGGCAAAATGAATGACATTCTGAACATATAGACCAAACCTTCCCGTTATTTTCGAAGGATTTTAAAGGGTATGTAAAGAAATAAAATATGTACAAACCCCAACAGAAGAAGAATCTCATTCTTCTCCACTAATTTAGCAAGCAAAAAAGTTGGCAAGGTACTAGAACATGTTCAGTTGGGCCTCTGCAAAAACAAAAAATCAAGAAAACAGGATTTAAATTCATAGTTCCTCATCTCAAAAATTTCTACAATGGAACAGCCAAAAGAGTAGCATATGTCAAATAGCAGATTAAAATTTTTAAATTTTGCTGGATTAGCAAGTATAATATTAAGAACTGTGAACTACCGATAAAAAAAGAGACCACTTTTGGATGCCTTCTTCTTTCATCAAGGACCTCTGGCAGCAATCCTAAGAAAACTTTCAAGAAACTCAGGCAATACTGAATTTTATGCAGACTATTTTCCTGTCTGTTTTAAGCTACTCAAAGTCAATCTCAGAGCAACAAGAAAGAACAAAATTATTTATTTATTTTCTTTTTTGGAGCCGTCCCCATGGCTGTGACAGTATCGGTTCTAGGTCAAAAGTAGCTCAGTAAGTCTGTGCCAGTTGAAGCAGCAGTTGCATTTTGATAACATGATAACCATGAGTCAGAGGGATTTTCAAAGGAAGACTTTTTCAGTAGTGGGATACAGTCTAAAATTGCTGTTAAATTGCAAACGAAAAGATGACACTATAGGTCAGTGTCTCATATGTGCTGGAGCTATTTGTGTAAGATGAGATGTCATAGGAGATGTTATCTCTATAAAAATGGTGATTTAAAACCATTCTTTTTGTACAAGAGAAATGATACAAGAGAAATAACGCAGAGCTATGTCCAGGACACAGCACAAGCACTTGCATAGGTAGACTAGGTTAGTGAAATTAATTTATTACTTCAGCCATAGTAGGACTATTATAATAGATAATTATTTCCTGTACTATATTTTCTATGGAAAAGACAGGGGAGTCTTTATTTCCTTTATAAGTAACAGAGAGGTAATAATTACAGCATCTGGAAAATCCTGTATAGTAGGTGCTGCAATGGCATGCAAAATTTCCCTGCACTGTTTTATATTTTCAATTTAATAATTGTGTATGATGTTAGTAAACAAACTGTTAGTCTTTTAACTATACTATTGATGGTTTTCCCTTTAATACGAAGGAAATATAGCCAATAAATGAGTCAGAACACCTTCACCTTAAATAATACTTTTGTTTAGCTATGTTGTCTGTAGCTACGCCACAGTTTATCACAATAAACCAAAAATGCTACAGAATTTCCTAAAGCACTGGAACCAATCATTTACTTATTATATTCTTAGGATGTCCTGGATTTGATGTTGACCAGATAGCACTAACCCAAAACTCATCCAAAGAATTACAAGGCACAGTCGAGGTAGCATGGCTTAGAGACTACTCTTAATATGCTGTTTGGATACAGCTTTGATCCAGGTAACAGGAGAATTTAGTCAAATGTGTGTGGACCTTTCTGTATCTTTTTGACCTCAGTGACAGAGAATAGTGGTTCCATGTAGATCGTATTTATTACTACAGTGTGGCCTCTCATTACATGTATTTTCCATATTTGTTTTATATTTATATACCTGATTATTCCTAACCGGTTTAACTTTTCTTTGGATATTGCTATGACCATACTTTAGTTTATTTTGTAAAGAAACATTTAAAATCTGTATTAAATATTTTAATACCTTGCAGATATTTGAAACCTTGTGTAGCTTGAAAAAACCCCACAAGACACAAACATCTTGCAGCCAATGTGTTATACTGAGCTCTGCAAGCAAAGGCACCACACCGTGTTAGCAAAGCTATGAGATGAATCTGATGTTACATTGATGAGAATCAGAACAAACTCTGCGGTCTGTAGCTGAAGCTACATGACAGTAAGAAGTCACAGTGGTGTAATAAGTCAGACCTGAAGTCACTATACTGTGATGTGGATCGGGAGTCAGGTCTCTGAAATCTGAGAAAGAATGCATGCAACACAGCAAAGCAGGAGTGCAACATGAGGCCACGCAAGTGCACAAAGGACCGAGGTTAGGTTTCAACAAAGTCTAAAAGATTACAAAGCATTCCACTTTTATTGCAGTTAATTCGTGGTTCTTGATTTGAACACTCCTCTGAATTTGTTCAATACACCTTTTTCTTTCTTTATCCTTTGAAACACAATAGAATATGTTTCCTCAAAGGCTTAAGTGTTTTTCTAGTATTTTCTTTGCTGCACAAGGATCACATAAGTCCTGAATGCAAACAATGTGTATTATGACTAGACTAGAAAACATGTTACTTTCAGATATGGATTACCTTTTTACTTGGGCAATAAAGTTAAGGTTTATGGAACAGAAAATATTTTTCCATACACCCAAAGGAAATGTGATGGAATAACTGCCAACAGAGCAAATTATAAACATTTACCTTGATATCACAAAGGCAAGTCTCCTAAAGATAGATCTCTATTTTTTTAACTTCTGATTAAAATATTATTGTACCAGTTAATGGATCTGTGTGTGTGAATATACCATGCAGATACCTTACTATGCTCTGAAGAACAGTTTCTTCCTTTAGACTTGCAGTGGCATGCTCAGTTGTGTTTTTCAGCTGAGAAAAACAAGCAGGATAGTCATACATGAAAATCTAGGAAAAACATTTTCTTAGGTTGTTTGGAGTTGGTTTTTTGTATTTTTTAAGACAAGTGAAAGCTAATTTTGAATTAATCCACTATCCATTCAATTCCTAAAAGTTATTTCCCTATAAATCTTTTAGGTGTTGTGGGTGGGTTTTTTTGTTTGGTTGTTTCTTTTGTTTGGTGGTTTTTTGTTTGTTTTTGGTTTTGAGGGGTTTTTTTTGGTGGGGGTTTTGTGTGTAGGGGGAAGGGTTAACTATTTTGTTTTCTTTATGTTTTGGGTTTGTTCGTTTGTTTGTTTGCTTTCCTAATTTGTGCTATTTGAGTATAATAAAGAATTTTGGGGTTTTTTTTAAGTTGATCATTTATCAATGCTTTTTATTAAATTATCATTTCATCTCTACCTTGAAATAGAAACTATGCAAAAGCTGTCCCTTGATAACCTGAAATTTCAGTTCTTCTGTATGATTGATCAGAAGCACTATCAGCTCACTGTTTTAGTCACAAAATTGTTCATTTTTGTTACTCTTCCTTTTTTGTTGATAAGCCCTTCAGAGTAGGGAATATGATGTTGTGTTTGTAGAATCAGGCCCATCCCAATCATGCTTTGCGTGTGCGACTGGATATTAGAATAAAATATAATAGATAGAAGCAATTATCTCAATAATTTTAAATGGCTACTTTCATGCCAATTGCAAGATCAAACTCTTTGCAGTTATACATGTACAGTCCACAATGGATGCTTTTATTCACAATCGAGAAAACACATTGAAGAAAATAAACGAGCCTTTTATCCAGGCTTTTACTGAAGGGAACAGGTCAGATACCTCATCCAGAAGGAAATACACTCTGAATTTCTGACAATAAATGAATATTCATATATATAAAATAGGCAGATGTATAACAATTTTAAAAGAACCTCCTTAAGAATGCCCATGTAAAAACAAACCCATGTTTTCAAAACAAAAAGGTCCAAATTGACTTGAATTTTTTCTTGCTTTTATTACATGCACTTATGAAAAGTAATTGATTTTAGCAAAAATGTATGCGTGTAATTTGGGGTGGATTTTTTTTGCTTGTTTTTTTTACTCATGAAATTTTGGCCAGATCTATTATGAAAAGTTAATCGAGACAAACAGAGTAACACTCTGGAAGTTCATCTGTAAGGTGTTCATGAACAAAATTAGGAATCGTGTCTCTCTACATACAATCTCTTGTAGTGATAGTACCTTTACACATGGCTCATGCAATTCCATTAACTTCAGAGTACTTTCATAAGAGCAAAGAAGATGCAGGCTACACATACTTCCTAGTTACATCTTAATCTAGATCACAGGTAAATTTATCTTAGATCATGTCAGTTCCCAAGATGTGAAATACATATGATCTCATCTTTTGCACTGTTCCTTCAGTCCCTCTGGTAGCAGTCACTCTCTAGCATTCAATTCTCGACCCCTACAATACCTAGTGTCAGGGAACTATATCTGCAAACTACTTCCTCAATGGAGATCTCTACAAATTACGTTAGTGGAAATTTACCCCATAAAGGTGCACAGAATTAATTTAATAAGTTTTGGCTAGATTTTGCATTACTGAATATGTAGGCACCTACTGTAAAATGTCTGAGGAGAAGCTAGTGCCTAAAAATAGGATCTCAAAAAGAAAATAAATTAACAATTGAAAGAATCTGCCTCAGCTAATGAAAAATTCTGAATACCATCTCAAACTTAATTCCTGTCCTTGGTAGTGCTAGGTTTTGATGAAATTATTGTCTGTGCATCCTTCAGTGCAAGGATTCACCCCAGAATTTTAGCCACCACTCGATGCTTGTATGGGCAAATGCACTTTGGTTTTCTCTTTATCCTGAGAGGTATTGACCTATCCCTTCACTTCTCCTTTTCTTTCTGCTATAGCTGAACTTCAGTGCTTGAACTAGAAGGTTACTCTACCTAACCCCCTTCAACTTCCACATGACTGCAGATGTGACAGCTTAGTCTAAAGACTCTCGGGATGAAGATGATTAGATCCTTTCTTGTCCTAGATCTGAGCATGTTGTCTACAACTAGGACTAAAATGTGTGCACATAGGGTGTATACAAGTATAGTTGACCAACTTCTGGGTTTTAGGCACTCTATGTTCTTAATCACACATGTCTATAAACCAGCTGGGGGGAAGAAATAAAGTTTTCGTACAAGTACTTACACAGGTGTGGTCAGTTGACCCCAGCTGGGGCACCACGTACCCACAAAAGCCTGTCTATCATTCCACCTTCTCAGTGAGACAGGGGATAGAAAATATGAGGAAAGGTTTTGGATCAGGTTAAACACAGGGAGACATCACTCACAGATTGCCATCATGGAAAAAACAGACTTGAATTGGGGGTTATTACCAACCAAATCAGTGTAGGATAATAAGAAATAAAACAAATTCTTAAAAACACCTTTTCTCCACCCGTCCCTTCTTCCTGGGCTCAGCTTCATTCCTGATGACTGGTGCAGGCAGAGGGCCAATAGATCTTACAGTCTGTTCATCATACACTGTCTCTACCACTGTGTCCTCCTCAGGAGAAGGACCCCTCGCACTCTTACACTGCTCTAGCCTGGGGTCCCTCCCACAGGAGACAGTCCTCCATGAATTTCACTAACATGAGTCCTTCCCAAGGGCTGCAGTTCTTTATGAACTGCTCCAGTGTAAGTCCCTTCCATGAGATACAGTCCTTCAGGAAGTGGCTGCTCCAGCATGGGTACCTCACAGGGTCACAAGTTATGCCACAAAACCTGCTTCAGGGTGGGCTTTCCACAGGATCGCAGACTCCTTCAGACATCCATCTGTTCCAGTGCTGAGTCCTCCACAGGTTGCAGGTGGGTGTCTGATGCAGCGTGGACCTCCATGGACTGTGGAGGCACAGCTGTCTCACCACGGTATTCACCCTGGGCTGCAAGGGAGTCTCCACTCTGGTGCCTGAAGCACCTCCTACCCATCCTTCTCCACTGACCATGGTATCTGCAGAGCTGTTTCTCTCACATATTCTCTGTGCTCTCTTGTCTGGCTTGTGCACAGAACTTTTTTACCCTTCTTAAGTATGTTATCCCAGAGGCACTACCACCATCATGGATGGAATTGGCCTTGGCCAGCAGCAGGTTCAACTTGGAGCCGTCTGGCATTGGGTCTCTTGGATACAGGGGGAGCTTTTTGCAGCTTCTCACAGGGGAAGCCACCCCTTTAGCCCTCTGAGTACTCAAACCTTACCATGCAAACCCAATACAGAGGAATTTCAGAGAAAGTTTCTTAGTTTATTACAGTTTAAGTAATCCTTCTTTCAGACTTCCTTCAGTGTGAAGTTAGGTACTAAACTCAAACTGGAAAGACAATTTCTCAGTTCAAACATACATAATATAGGAATGCTGGACTTAATTGTCACTGATTTTGGCAGATAAGCACTTCCAGAAGAGCTAGGCTTCAATGGTATATTTAGAACACATACTATTATTAAAAAAATTAGTTAAACCATAAAGCTTAATTGAAATAGGCATGGTACAGAAGAATTCTAATCCTTTTTCTACCATTAGTGTACCTTCACTGTGCTTCATACTCTCCCATCTTTTAGTCTGTGATTTTTGCTGAAAATTTCCTTTGAATCCCTTACAAAATTACTATCTGTTTAGTGACAGAAAGAAATAGCATATCCCTTCAGTAATTCCAAGCACTATTTTAGTTTAGTCTCTTTTTTTGTACATTGTATTTTCAATTTTTATATTTATATTCA